TATATGCTAAAATTAAGTTTTTATTAGTATAAATATTTTAGTGAGATAATATATTAATTGTTTTACAAGCTAGCCCTAACATGCTCATATTTAATGTTGTGGCTAAAAAGACAAAAGCTTATAACCCAATTATTTTTAGACTTAACGTTGATTAAAAGTGGTAAAAAATAGATAAACCCAATTACTTTTTAGACTTAAACGGACAATACCGTGAGAATAACTCATTTAATTTCTCTGTCAGATGTGGAAAAAAGTTTATAACCCTATTGTTTTTTAGACTTAACGTTGATAAAATATGTAGAAAATAGATAATAACCCTATTACTTTTTAGACTTAAACGGACAAGGCTGTGAAATAAAAAGTTCATAACCCTATTGTTTTTTAGACTTAACGTTGATAAAATATGTAGAGAATAATCAATAACACTATTACTTTTCAGACTTGAACGGACAAAGCTGTGAAAATAACTCATTTAATATCTATGTCCCGTGCATTGCACGGGGTACGTACTAGTTATTGTTAATATGTATGGCCTGTATTTTAAATGAAATAAAAAAATATGGTTTTTGTTGCAAGGTAATTAAACTTGGTGAATAATTATATACACATGTAATGGCAGATTCTACAGTTTTGTTATGGAACCATTCCGTCGGGGTTGGTAACCGTTAGATCATCATGTAACCATCGTGAATAACTGATTTAACTGTTACCAACTTCGACAAAATAGTTCCATAACCGGATTGTGGCATTTTCCACATGTATAAGTTAAAGTACTATTATATATCTATTATTACTTTTTTACTTTAAATTCTCACATATTTAATGTACTTGTTTTATTGAATATAATTACCATCGTAGCGGATCAAAGATTCGGGTAACCCGTTGGGTCGGGTCATTTTCTCTTTGATTCCCTCTGTGTGCTTGCTTACTTCCACTTGCATTCTACACCATAAGTTACCCAAATTAAATTATGAAATGAAATACTCAATCACCATGCAATTATTGAATTAAATAATGAAATATTTCAATCACCATGCAAAAATAAAATCGCATATCTCATGCATTAATTACAACATGTTTCGAAGCTAATTTTGGTTGGTACATTTTAATTCATCGACACATTTTTTTTTTTATTTTTTTTTACAAAATTATATACACCAATTTCCAATATCTTATTCATTGATAGGTCAACACACTAAACTTTTTTTTTATTCAATACACTAAAATACGGAGCAATACATTTCTTGTTACAAAACTATTTCGTTAAGATTTATAACTTTTAGATCATCGTGTAACCGTCATTAATAGTTATTATAATGGTTACAAACTCTGACGGAATAGTTTCGTAATGAGACCATAAAATCTCATATAATTTTATGCCTTGGTCCACAAATTATTAAAATACCATAAAAATATGAGAAATATCTTGGAGAATAAATTAAGACAAATTGGGCCCAAATAGAATAAATCATTGGATAAGATAAGCAATATGATGAATTTGATCGGATACGACATGTGCATGTTCTAATGGACCATGCACCTTAATAATGTAGACACTTCATCACATTTCAATGTTTTTTTTTTATTTTTTATTCTTTCGAAATTTATAACGGGTCGACTCGTTTAACCATAACCAGTCGAATGAAATGAATTGAATCAAATGTGTTTAGTGAGAAAATATATTGTAATTAAGAGTAAATTTAAGAGTGTTAATTACCCAATGTACTTGAGGACATTCCCCGTTTCATCCTTAATGGGTGCAATGGTAAGAAGATTCCAGAAAGGCGTGCCGCCTTTCTTGTAATTAAGCAACCTTCCGCAATACGTGAAACCGTATCGTAAAGCCTCCCGAATCTTCGCCACATCATCTGGATCCGTGTCCTTTCCTTGTAAGAATCGGCTGCACAATCGACCCAAAAAATGACGTAAATGCCCTTCCTAACCGTCAACCTTTGTCCAAACGTAACTTCTGTATGAAGCAGCTTAATCATTAAGCAGGTCGATCAATCTTATTTTCTTGTCTAATAAACAAAAGTTCGGCATCTCATAATATAAATATATTATATGATTTTATTTTATTTTTAATAAATGCTCGTCCAACAATTAGACCGTCTCAAATTAACCAGAGTTTGTATTTAATATAAAAAAAATCATACCAATTCCTACCAATGACCTCTTTAGAAGTGTAGCCAGTCATATTGAAAAATCCAGCACTTGCATACATAATCGGGTAATCGGGTTTGGTAGCATCCGACACCACAAACGTTTGCTGGAAAGTAGACAATGCGTCCTTCAAATCCTCTGATACTCTTGGAAAACTA